TTACCTTTACTGTTAAAAACTTTATAGCAAAAATAGCAACTTCAAGAACAATATTGGTACTTAACTTGGTATTGGTGTATTCTCCTTCGAAACTAGACGAGAACTAACTCGAAAGTCACTTGTACTTACCTTTTATACTTTCTACCCACATAAGTCAGTTTATCAATTAATTACTAATTAAATTATAAAGTTGAACCAAACATATTAAGACATCCGCAAACACTGTTTTAAATATTAATTTACATAAGAAATAATTGTTTTAAATGAAAATAATTAAATGACAAAAATATTATAACTTCCGGTAACAGTTTTAAACATTCTATCAAAATACAATATTAAGATGTTTATAATTTAATTTTACATTATTTATCAAGCGCATATGTAAACTAAAATTATACTTATTTTATTTACGAAAATTTTATCAAAGTATAAAATAAATAATAAATCGTTTATTTATAACATAAAACTTAGAATAAAAGGCAAACACTAATGATAACGTACTAATATTAAGTATTGTTCCTTAAAGACATTATTTTATACAAGTAAAGCGCAGCTACAAAAACTACGATACAATTATCATCGTTAACAAAGCGCGTAGCGACGTAGCACCGTAGCAACGTAGCGCGTAGCAACGTAGCGAGCTACGAGCCTACGGTAACTAAACCATACATACGGAAAGTGAACAACTACAAACACCTGCTGAGCTGCAAACCACTTCGTTTTAAACATTTTTTTACTATTGTAGTAGAAAGATCCTTGTTTACCATGGTGTAGCAGACGTTTCAACTTGAGTACTTTAGGTAACTTTGGATAGTAAAATGTTTTATAATGTTGATCTCTAGAAAATATGTTTTCTTTGCTTCGTTTATATCACACATTATTAAAAAAATCAAAAGGGTTGTACTACAAACTAAGAGTACGCCATGCATGGAATTGTCAAAGTTAGAAAGCAGTACCCAAATATGTGAAGTACAGGTTCGCCACTCGCCACTGTTTGCCCGCGAATATGGGGCAACGCCAACACTTTGTTTATGTTTAGATGCGGCCGTGCAGATGGTACATGTCGGGGTCACGGGGTCAGCTGTACTAAACTCGGGGGTCACAAACTTCTTACCAAGTAACTAAACAAATTGTTAATTTGAAAGTTTTAACAAAACTATTGTCACGGCAGTAAAAGACGATGTGCTGTTTGTGAGACTCTGTACTTGTATGTGAAAGACGCATGTTCCACTGCACTCAGACAATCAACGGCTCGCGGGGCTCTGTAGTGCGTCACCTGCCGACTGCCGACTAGTACAAGTGACACAGTCCAGTAGACACACAAGTATTATTTTCATGTATGTACTAACTAAGCTAAATAAGATCGTAATCAAAACAGATCGCAAGTCGAATATTAAAAATAATCCGCGTGTTCGTGTCAAATTACAGATTATAGAACCGATTTAGTTGATCGGATATTTGTTTGAAGTTTGTCTCTATGATATAAAATGAATCCCTTTTTCCCTTGGTCACGGCATCACGCGTGAATGGCTGGACTGGTGTCACTAATTCTTTTTTGTTGTATTTCTTATTACTAAGAGAAGGCTCTTAAGACAGAAAAAAATCCTACGAGAACGGGATTGCGCGTACGAAGGGACAGGATTCGCGGGCACAAGCTAATAAGGTATAATTTTATACTCGACAGAGTTGTTGTAACTTGGTTCACTGCAGGGTCATGCACCATCCGCCAGTACTGGGAACTAAACTAAGCAGGGTAAGAGGGCGTGACATCGAGGTCACCGCGTCCGCGGCCCTGTGACGTCACTAGTGTCACTCCTCACTCGACAACTGAAGCGCTTAATGCGAGCACAGCCAGGTAGTGGGTTCTATACATACACGCGCACCTCTCGCACATTACGAAGATGGCATTATGTGCGATTGACAGATAGGCAGGCTTACTAGTCGACTGCTCGCAACTAGTTACAACTTTACATCCCTTCAGTATAGAATAGTAAATAGTAGGTTTTAGAAAGTTATGTATGTTTACAACTAGTAATTGCAAGAATTTTCTGACGTTGAAAAATATATTTTGCGTCGTCAGTGTGGCTTACCTTCATGAGTTGTAGATGCGCGGAGACCTGGTCGCCGCGCGCCGCCGGCTCGCCGCCGGCCACCGGGAACGAGCCCAGGTACTGCAACGAACATACCAAATAAATAAAGTATATTAAAAATACTTTATACTGATACACACACCGACAAGTTTTTACAATGATAAACTCGATATCAGTACAACCGAACAAAACACCTTACCAATCTCAAGGCAAAGTACTCTATTTAAAAGTATTCTTTTAAAGCACAATTTAAATTTTGAGTACCTTAACTCACACATTATGTAGGAATTAATAAATCTCTTTGAAAGATAACGTAGAATAAATTTTTCACAGCAGCTGACCAACGATGCGATATTAATAAAAATATTTCAGAAACGATGTAGGTACCGTTTTGATATGCAACACGTTTCAGTAATTGACCGGCACACCGTGTCCAGATGTCGGTTCCTGATAGAGTTAAATTCGCGTTGAATGTATAATGAGCGGGCAATGAGCGGCGCGTAATGAGGCCTGTTCGTGATAAGTGCTGGCAGCGCGTCACATACATCACGTGACCGACGCGCGCCCGCGGCCTGCAGCAACACCACACGGCGAACATGTACGTAGGTATGTGCGACCAATATAAAGTTAAACGCCGAACATTATGTAAATCATCCCGATCAAAATCACTTTAAACTCACTTGAAAATGCATTATGCTCAGAATGCAGTGCATGTAATTAATATATCTACAATTATTCAGTTAAACTACAGCCAGACAGTAATTACTAGTAACTTTAAAACTTCGAAATAATACCATGTTCATAAATGTGCAGCCATTACTTATTGAATAATTCGTTACGGTGATGTGACTACAATGCAATCAACACTATAAAAATAAATAATTGAAAATCACACGAGTACAAATGTCTGAAATCATAACCAGCGGCTGAGCTCTGTGGGTTGGGTACATGCGAGTGTTGCCGTCACTCCGACTTAATTACACAGTACGCGAGCCGACGACGCGACGCGACGCGATCAGCCGCGACTGAGTTTAATTAATATGTCTAAGACGCAGACGCGGCTGTCTGCGTGGATAAAAGTAAACCCAGCGATACTTGTGCACTCACTCCGATGTAAATAAATAAAGTTTATTTTTATGTTGACACATAGTTCTATACCGACGTGTGCAGCGCGTGGTGCGCACTGTTATCAAACAACAACAGTAACACCTCCAAGGATTGTATTTTCCAACTCAATAAGCTTGTAGGTAATCATTCTAAAGCTTTCCCAGCATTGTTTCCAATTGACCATCTGTTCATATTATTTTCTTAGGTGAAAAATATTGAAATAAATACTGACGTGTATGTAATAGATACGTGTGTAACGGAAAACAGCCTAAAACCTAAGCAGTGCTGTAAAGCTGACCGCAGTCGCAGCGGCCGCCGCACGCCGCGCGCTGCTGCACTGCCCGGCTTTGTGGCCGTAATCACACGGATCACATTACTACAGTACCTGCTACAGTGCACCTTGCATTTATCTTTAAGCTATAGCGCTATTAAAATGAAACCCACATACCTATTATGGGACTTTTATTATCATTGAAAACATTAAACGAACCAATCCCCATACGTTTGCTTAGTTTAAAATTCTATAACATTAATTGCTTGGCTAAAGGCGCTGTATATAAATAAGTAGTACATAGTAGTACATAGTATAAGTAGCCCTTCACACATGAGATATGAAATTCCCACAACAAGGACACCTACAAAGTCGTTACGTGTCCGTGGCGTCCGTGTCACACGTGAGTCCGGGGTAATTTCCCTGAAGACGCGACGCGACACCGACTCATAGTTTTCACCAGCGACTGTCGCTCGCGCTGCTACCAACACGATGTTTGTACGAGATTGTAACGTAATCACATTTTAAAATGTTTGTCAGCAACATGCTGCCAATATGACACGTAATGTCACTGAACAAAGACTTTGTTATTTCAAACGTTGTTCTATTGTTTCATAGCAAACGTTATATTCTCATACAGATTTATCTCAATGTGTGACAAAGGCCAGAGATTAGGTAGAGGTCAATAGAGGATGATTTTGGTAATCAAGGAGTTCAGTTTAATTGTGGCAAAGATTTTACATTTTTAAGTTTTCTAGTCCGAAACATCTCCAATTATTTAATAAAATACGTCTAAAATAACCGAGTTCAACCCCCCTCTTTTTTTGAAGTCGGTTAATTAATATCCTAAGCGTAACCAACACTTTTCTGAAATACCGCATCATAATCGGTTCTGCTAGTCGTGAGGTAATCGCGATTATTCTATTTTGTATTTATCTAGTATGTTTGCACGTATAACAATCTCGATTATTACATATGTACTGTTGGTGCGGTGGCTGGGCAACCGGCTGCCGTGCAACGTGTCGCGGGTTCGATTCCCGCACAGGACAACACTTTGTGTGATCCACAAAGTGTTTTTTCGGGTCTGGGTGTCATTATGTATGTGAACTTGTATGTTTGTAAACGCACCCACGACATAGGAGGAAATCCTAGTGTGGGGCAACGTTTTTATTAAAAAAAAAAATACATACAGGTCAAACTGAGAACCTCCACTTTTTTGAAGTCGGTTAATAAATTGCTCGGTATCGCATTATGTATGGTATTGCCATTTAGCATCAGCAGCAGCTTATACATGACAGAGTATGACAGAGTTACAATGATGAAGACCAGTACTATCAGAGCCATCTATGTGGCCTGTAAGAAACAAGTGAGTGTTCTGAAAAATGTTCAGCTTACGATACGCTCCGTCTACTATGGGTACTACGACCCCATCCGTTGCCGGGAAACACCGCTAGATGGCGCTTGTCCGTAATGTAACTATTCCGACTATTGCTGGCAAAGTTTTGGCGTTATATACTTGTTACATAGAATAGTTTGTGGAATGTGAGTGCAGCAGTAAATACCTCGCCATCATAACAGAGTCGTAAATATAAAGTTGGTTACAGTTACGATATTTGGACAAAAGTTTAGTGGTTCTGAATGTCAGTTTTCAGGTTTCAAAGTAAATATTATAGTCAGTAGTGCATATTTCATGTGCATAATGCGCAATAAATAAATATTTTCTATCTGATATCGATGAGTGAATCACACACAGTGTCCACGTAGTGCACACTCTGACATAACTGCCACATTTGGCGCGCAGTCGGCAATTATCGCGTGATAGACACGACCTGTAACCTCATTACCTTGGCACACGTACACCGGCACACGGTAACACTACGGAATTATTGGGGAATTACTGTCTCAATGCCGATACTTTGGCACACACTTATACCTCAATATGTACAAATGGCTAGACGAGAGTTTATTGTTTCGTTTTATTGCTTGACTTCTTCCAAACAAAACATAACACAGTGTAACTAATGTTACGCTCTTCATACCAATAGTCGCCTTTTACCAGTTCCATATAACCCTTTTGCCATATACCGGCCATAATTATAGTGTTTCAAACAATTATTATTAATCCTATTTACTTTAGTTTTTATTTAAGAATAAGAATAGATTTTTTTAGCAAAAACAAAGGACAACTATACCTATTATTTAACAAAATGTGGTAATGAATACATAGATATCACAATCACAATTGCAAGGTAGACCAAAAAATACATAGTTTATAATGCATACATACAAGTTAACATAAGCAGCGGCAATTCTGTAGTAGATAGGTGAATCTAAATAAACACCAATGAAATTATATAATACACCTTGCAAACAACAGTAACGTACATCCACTAAATTGGATACCAAAAGTGTAAAAAATGTCCACAGACGGTATACTGTACAATATTAGAGGTAAAGCCAGGAAAAAGGAGAAACTTTGTGCAAATGTTGTTTTACAGGCTGTTTAGTTAGTTTGGCCCTAATTATTTATTATTCAGTTTTAGATTAGTTACTACGAGATTATTGCAAAACGGAAATCATTCAATACAGTGAAGCAGTCGCAATACATGCGAGAACAAAACGGCGGAGTGCCATCAGAAGCACAACACGGTTTATACCACTACGACATCCGCACACTACTCTCGAACATCTATATATTGACGAAAGGCATCGACCTTTGTTCGTTAACACACGTCCGTATCTGTATATTTAGGTTTATTCTCAAAGTACCTATTATAATAACAGTAACGATTATTCCACTCCGTGAGGCCAGAATCGTTATTATAAAACTCAATGTAAACTTTGTTATATCAAGCCGTTGAAGTTAAACGTAATTTAGATAATCTTAATTGCGTGGACCGTCGCCGTCACTCCGCAGACGTAATGAAGCGACACGACAAACTTCGACAACTGCGTCGCGACGTGCGACGAGACGCCGCGCGACAGACACCGAACAAGTGTAATAGTGGCTCCACTTCTAGCTTCAACCGATTGTACTAAGCAATATAGCAAGTTGCAGAGTTCAGCAATATCTGGCGAGCTTCAATGCGACGAGGATTTTACATAAACAACACATTAAGATTAGGAATTCATAAAGTTGTGAGCAACTCTGGCAAGAGCGAGAGGGGGGAGGGGGGCGGCCGGCGCTCTGGAGCAAGTTTGACGGCAAGTAGTTAGGCGGACAGTACGAGGAGATGTCGCGAGTGTTTGTTAAGATTTAGTTCAGCACGGCGCACACTGCAACCACTGCCTCCTGGCGAGCCGCGCATCTACCTAACCGCTTGTTGTCTGCAGGTGCATGTTGTCATCTGTTCAGACATGTCTGCGCACTACTTCGTACAAAACGTGCAGGAGTATATTTGTCGCCACAATCAGCTGAATACGTGATCGTCCGGCCGCTGTCATGATGTGCGGCTTACTACTAGAATAGTCCAGTAGAGCAACGGACATCACTACGAGCATTGATTTCAAATGTTATCCGCCTCTAATGACGTGTTTTAACATATATATACTGAGATATTATTTGTAGGTACGTATGAGATATACGTATTCCAACCACATCGCTCGTCTCGACACCAATATTAACCACAAGTAAACAAAACACAGTGCGTGTGTTCACACGACACACTACAGCTACACATTACGACACAATACAAGGCAGCGA